GGATCCAAGATGACTTCGCTATATCCGTAAATTCGCTATATCCGTGTTCGTACTAAACGAGTTTTGCTGTAAATACATCTATTAAGCATTTCACAATCATCACATATTTTCGCAATGGTTTTTCGTATCACTGGTGATTAAGTCTTGCATTTTTATTTGATTACTGTACACTTGTCATGAACATTTTTTTATTCCTTCATTTTCACAAGTGAATTAAGTTAAAGGTGTCTTAACTGCAATGTAATAATAAACTATTTGATTCAAACACACATACGCAACCTCACATACACATCCTTATAGACACAAAAGAGGCGCAAGGGTCTTAAAAGTCACCTGAGTATAATAAAACAATTTAGAGGATCAATAGGATACATAATAAACTGATAGATGAAGCTTTGTTGCCCAAAAGCTATAGAAATAGGATTATCAGGTTCAACGTAATTATTAGTCTAGTATTCAGTAACAACTCATAAACTAAGTCCTAATTCTCTCATTTATCATTCTCACCATTCAGACTATTAAAAAAATATTTGTGCTCAATATTAAATTCCTCACATTGGCCACTCTTGATTTTTCACTATATATTCAAATGAGCCCCGCCCCTACCCCAGAAGCCCTGACCCAGGGGCCATGAAATACACAATTTTAAAAAAAGGTAACCTTGCTTATCATAACTACTGTAGATTCCTAAATATATGCGTGGAATTAATTATGGCGTTATTTCGCGAGGAACACTAAACGCGAATTAAAATTACCCGCTATTATTTTATGATGATGGAGTCTATGTAAAATCTCTTGATATACTATCCATTCGCGAATTATATTCTCGCTATCTGACAGTGAAGAGTCCTTTCGTGATAGTAAATACCAGAAAAAAGCAGAGAGGATTTTCAAAGAATTCATGTATTTTTTTACTAGTATATAATGAATAAAGCCCCGCCTTTACACCAGAACCCCTGACCCAGGGGCCATGAAATACGTAATTTTAGAAGAACCAGACTTGTTCATCATTACTTTGTACGCAGTTACTTTGGATAATACCCAGGATTAGAGAAGATTAAAAAAAAATAATGCACTTTCATTATATGATCTATACAACCCAACTCTAGCACCAGAACTCTTGTCCCTGGGGTCATGAATTTTCGTAGAATTTTCGTAGAGAATTCAATTCTTATCACAACAATGCCAACAGTTTGACTGCTTAGTGCCCAGCAGTAAAGAACAATATTGTTCAAGATTGCATTAATCTTTGTGGTTTTAGCGCCAGCCCTCGGGTTCTAGGGGAGCAGGAACCATGAAATTCATAATCTTTGTTCCCCTTTAGCCATAGAAGATATATACCAAAATTGGTTAAAATTAATTCAGCAGTTCCAGAGGAGAAGGTAAGAATGTAAAAATGTTAACTCAGGACGCACAACGCACAAAGGTGCACGAAAAAAAGATTGCTAGAGATTTCCTGTATGACTCAGTTGACCTTAAATCTTGGAAAGATGATGCAACATGATTATTACAGCTAGAGTCAGTGAACACTGCATGAAATGTACATGTACAATGTAAACACTGTACAGAGTGTAGATTTCCCCCACACTTGCTACAGAAATACACAACTATAGACAGAAATGTGTTATTTCCACTAGTGTTTATATCAAAATTGGTCTTATTTTAAAAAAAAATGTAGAGGTTGAGTTAATAATGCTTGAATGAAGTAGTAATGGAACTTTATCAACCACTGTAGAGAACTACAATTTTCCTTCCAAACCCCTAATCTCTAGCCACCACTCTCATTACATACACTACCCATTTTACAGTTGACTATTCCCTATATTCTATTTCCAAACCTTTGTAAGGACCTATGAACAGTTAAACAAACATAAAAGCACACCATTCAATTCCTACATATATACAGCGTACTACAACATGATAAAGTTTAATGTACAATTTTGATACCAATCTAAACATGAGTTAAAATCAATGAGAGTTGTTCAAAATATCAATTGTCAGTCAAAAACATAACATTTAGACATGATGTAAAGTAGAATATTTAAAATTTGATCTGCAAGAAATCAGTGATTGTCAAAGACAACAAAGTTATAAACTTCATGTTCATAAACCAAGTACACTTGATAAGTACACGAATTAAATAAAAAAAATTATTATAAAAATACAGATTCTAGTTAAATTATATAGTTTGTGTCGTAATTTTTCATCTAATTTTAGAAATATTTCTAGTCAAGCTAATTGTCATCGAAATAAAATGTAAATGTAATTAAATTGAAAACAATCACACTGAGTGTAATTATGCAGTAATGACTTCCTCAGAAGCTATAAAAGTCTGGTCCTGATTTTTAAAAAGAAGGCTAGAAATAACTTCTAACGGCAAATAATTAATAATAATAATGATAATAATAATAATAATAATAATTATGATACTTTATTTAAAGAGGGTAACCCGATTAGTGCATGCACTAGTCTTCCTCGGGGCCCTCGAAACATATTCACATTCACAGGACAAAAATACAAATCTGCAGTGTATGGATATTTGCAAATGTAAAATCCTGAACAAAGCAGAATATAGAAACGATAGACAAATTCATCAGAGGAAATTCGAATTAAGCGTAGAAACGACTTAATTTTCTGAGTTAAACTAATAATGTTAGCATTCTTTTATCATTTTTAAAGTTGTATTACACTGAGTGAGATATTTAAACATTATCTCTCTTTTTTGAACGATATTAAGAGAAAATAAACATAGGTAATCAGAGATTACAGAGCTCACCTCAACGAATGTTGTTTTTACGTAAGGCAAAGTCACACAATTAACCAACAAATAGTGTACATTCCAAAAATGAAAATATTTAAGCAATTTTGTATGCTTTCTGATACTTTGAAATAGACCTAAATAAAAAATTTAAACTACTCATGAAACTGTAATCAAAATCCAGCATCTGAAGCAAATTTGAGAAATTTCATCTCTTGATGTAAACTTTAACCTGTTCACTCAACCGGAAAATGTAGGTCAGATGCAGCATCCGAAGCAAGCCCGGTAGAGTGCATCCTTAGATGTATCATCCATGCAAGTTTGGTCAACATAGGGCTTATAGTTACTTCGAAATGAAAACTGCACCAAAATCTTTAACCTGTTCACTCAACCGGAAAATGTAGGTCAGATTCAGCATCCGAAGCAAGCCCGGTTGTATCCATCCTTAGATGAATCATCCATGCAAATTGGGTCAACATAGGGCTCATAGTTACTTGGAAATGAAACATGCACCAAAACTTTTACCTGTTCACTCAACCGGAAAATGTAGGTCAGATTCAGCATCTGAAGCAAGTCTGGTAGTATGCATCTTAAGACGTACCATCCATGCAAGTTTGGTCAACATAGGGCTTATAGTTACTTGAAAATGAGACTTACACCATAAACTGCACTAAAAATGTTAACTTGCTCCAAAAACATTAACCTGGTTATTCCTTTGCTGAAATTGCAGCATCTGAAACTTTGACTGGTACAGTGAAACACACTAGAAACATCTTCCATCCATGTCTAATCAATATAGGACATAGAAGTACTTAAAAAGAGAACTGCTCCAAAACACTTAACCTTAACCTGGGACGCCGACGTGGACGCCGACGCCGACACCGACGCCGACGCCGAGGGTATTACATAAGCTCCCCCAACTTCGTAGAGGTGAGCTAAAAAAGAATTGGATGTCCGCCATTTTGAATCGCGAATTTGACCTTTTTAACGCCTTTTTTATGAAGGCCAGCATATTTTTTCGGATTCAGCATAATCGAATTAGGTTTAAAAACTATGCTGGACCAAATAATAATTATTTGCCGTAAGAAGTATTTTTTTCAAAAAATCGGACCAGACTATTACATTGTCTTTATCACATGCCTACACAATTTATTCATTGTTAAATCATTACACTAATTAAATATATCTCATACGTATGGATGAGATAGTCCGTTGGATAAATTTATGCTTTATCAACGGGTAGATGCTTTATCAATAGCTCTTCCGGTTTTGACACAATCCCTCGATTCAAGATTTTATTTTATTGAAACTTTTATTTGTGAAAATTATAGCCCTTATAAAATGAATGATACAGAGCAATAATATCGTTAAAAGCAAGAAAAAGACTCGTATATGTCAAAGATGTGTCTTATTTTATCAAGGAACCTGTATTGGCTACTTGACGATAGATGCCCCCCCCCCCTTTAAATCGTTTTCGGAGAAAGTAAACCCTAGCTGTTAAGTTGTTGTTATAAGATTCCTTTAGCATCTTCAATAATGCTTCCTTACATCATACTATGTATGCCTACCTAGTAATGTAGGTATAACTTACCATATGGATCAAAAATGAATCTTCAAGACTAGTAGCCTGGCCTTGCCTATGCACGTTTTGTACTGCCATCGTACAACGAGTTAATTTTCATGTTCCCATGGCCCTTACGAATTCCAATCAGAAGTTCGCTTGATGTACATATAAAGTTCAAGTAATTGTCACATAATGTTTTCAAAGATGCAGATAGCAAACATTCTAAATTTTGAACATGATCTACTTTCTTTCGAGGCATAGCAACATCAACGGTGCGACGTCATCAAGTTATGTCATCAATTTGAATCTAGCAATCATTCATGTAGTTTTGCAGGGGACGTCTCAAAGTTTTGTTAAAATGAAAGTCGTATGAGATAAATAGAACATGTATGATTGTGTGATTTGATATTGGCTTTATCCAACTCATTGAAATGGGGTATATTCGCTCGGCAAGCCTCGCGAATATATACACCATTTCAACTCGCTGGATAAAGCCAATATCAAATCACACACTATAGATATCCTCTATTTATATACTTAACTAAAACTATTTACAGTGTTACTTACCGGTCAGAGAGTTCCGATGTAACACTATGTATATGTTGACTATGTTGCTGTCGTATGACCCTATCCATAGTAGTTGTGTGTTATCATCATAACTCAGGCCCAGTGGATAGTCTATCCCGTGTTGTGAGATCTGTATTTGGGACAGGAAGTGACCGTTCCTGTCTAACATCTGCACTGACTTGGTGTTATAATCACACACCAGGATGTGTGACAGCGCGTCAGTACAGATTCCTAGTGGAAATAGACTTCTGTCGGAGAAGCGATGTTTACCATCACAGTCTGTCACCACTACAACACAGCCAATGTCAGACACAATAACATCTCCATTGCGGTTCTCTGTTATGTAGATAGGTCTACTATACAGTTCACAACCTGTGTTGTCGTATTGTATGGATTGGATGATTTCTCCTGTGGAGTTATAACGCACTACCTTGCCTGTAACTGTACCAGTATTAAGCATCCCGACCAGTAGGTCTCCAGTGGAGGGGGAGCTGAAAATACACTGTGGTATCCATAGTACCCGTGGTGCTCTGCACTTTATTAATGTAGTCTTTATTTTGTTATATGTAGACAGTTTGTTAATATTACCGTGATTGTCTATATAAATTAAATCACCGTCATTATTCACGGTGTGTCCTCCATAGCTATACTGCTTTATATCAGTCACATTATCTAGTTCATCACCTGCTGTGTTCGTCAAGATAAGATTGTTACCATCACTGATCCAGACCCGGCCTAATGATATAGGGGAAATGTGACGACTTTTACAAACACCTGTCACTGTGACAGATTTCTGTAACACTAATCTATGCATCATCTAGAGCAGACATTTATTTTATATCTGTCTTTTTCCTGTAGTTTCACTCCATAACAGAATAACGTGTTGGTTTCCCCAGTCAGGGAGATTTCTCTGTAAATTACAACACAGTGCTGTAATTATTGACATCAAAAAGATTCAATCTCTTCACACTTTTTTACATGAAACTATTCAGATCATACAATAATTGTCTCTTTAAAGACAATAATACTCTATTTACATTTAGTTGATTTACATGTCTCTAGGCTTTTATACACCTTGTGTATAAACAAAGAAATCTAATCCTTTTACACACACACAATATATATATATATATATATATATATATATATATATAGAGAGAGAGAGAGAGAGAGAGAGAGAGAGAGAGAGAGAGAGAGAGAGAGAGAGAGAGACACGGAGAAATTTACTTTTACAAGGATACTAACTTCCGCCCCAGCCCGGGGTTGAACTCTCGACCTACGGAATCTGTCTCCTAGCAGTGCAGGAAGAGCGCGTTAGACCGCTCGGCTATCTCGGCAAGTTAAAAAACTTGCTTTCGATGCCGATGGAATTCTCACAACGCTGCCCTATACTACACGGTCATTGAGAATGGAAGTGAGATACAGTTATTTGGACATTAGTTTTTAGTTTTTTTTCCTCTAAAAACTAATGTCCAAATAACTGTATCTCACTTCCATTCTCAATGACCGTGTAGTGTAGGGCAGCGTTGTGAGAATTCCATCGGCATCGAAAGCAAGTTTTTTAACTTGCCGAGATAGCCGAGCGGTCTAACGCGCTGTTCCTGAAATAACTGTATCTCACTTCCATTCTCAATGACCGTGTAGTGTAGGGCAGCGTTGTGAGAATTCCATCGGCATCGAAAGCAAGTTTTTTAACTTGCCAAGATAGCCGAGCGGTCTAACGCGCTGTTCCTGTACTGCCAGGAGACAGATTCCGTAGGTCGAGAGTTCAACCCCGGGCTGGGGCGGAAGTGAGTATCCTTGTAAAAGTGAATTTCTCCGTGCTTTCTATATTAATATTCCTTCACTTAGGGCAGTTATATTAGTTTAAGAATAATTTGTGCTTTATAAATATATATATATATATATATATATATATATATATATATATATATATATATATATATATATATATATATATATATTTGCCTCTTTTCTAGAACTGCATAAGGTATTATAACAACATGTCATGGCATGTTTATACAAGTTTATAAGTTGTTCACAAGTTACATAGAATTATGTGGCCACTGACAACACAACTATTCTTTGTAGATACTGTGTGCTGTGCTGAGGTCTTACATTGACTGAGGAAAGTCCTTTCTACCCAGAATTGGACTGGTATCTGATCTTAACTTTAAAAATGCAGTATTAAAAGATCTTATTGTTAAAAATCAATTGACAATATTGTGATTTTAATATAGAATTAGCATTATCTGTTCGTGTAACGCCTTCTGGTCTGAAAATGAAAATTACGTTTTGGAGAAAAATCACCGGACTCATACGGCTGAGTACTGATGAACACTACTCGTATTTCATCGTAAGTGTACTCGGCTTTAACCCTTAGCTATTTTTAATTTATGGTTATCAATAGCCATTAACAGTACGTTTTTAATTTCAAAGTTAAGTAAACGTTTATTTCAAATTCTTTTGGGGTTACTATACGTTTAGCCTCAATACATCCGTTATCATATACGTGGAAACAAAGAATTTAACAGTGAATAATTTTATTTCGCAAGAGAATGCAGTATAAAACATATAAGATGAAAACTTTTTTAAAATTATTCACACCTTTGTATATCAATTGGTCAGTTAGGCATAATTTATGTTCCCAACCGTAACAACAGTCGCCAGAGAGTACTTCAGAATAACCGTTATGAAAACAACTCATTATCACCTGTTGTAACCGATCAGTCGCTTCAATATAAGCGATATTTCAATATAGCCGATTTCAATATAACCGTTATTTTAATGCAAAGAATATGAACGGCAAAAACGAGGGATTTATTTTTATTTCAAAATAAGCAGAATTTCAAAAGAAGCGATTCCAATATAAGTGGAGTAAGCTGTATATTGTTGAAGGTTCTGATGAAAACATTTCTGTTTTTGTTATGTATAACAAGATATTGACTATCAAAGCGTTATTTAAAAAGACTTTTGGCCTCTTTCGGCACTTCATGTGATGAGTCAGCACATTCATTTTTTAGACATCATGTTTGAGATCTTGTCATTCTACACAAATATTGTTCAGTATGTTAAAACAAAACAATTGAAAATAAAAAGATGTGATGCAAAATGTTTCAAAAAATCACTTCTGATTCGTGTCTTAAATTTTGACAACCTCCAAGCTTTCATACTAGGACTCCCGGAAAATATTCTGACCAAGGTTTTCACTGAAAATTTCAGCGTTCTAGATGTGCTTTAAGCCGTTTTTGAGTTCCATCGCAGACAAGGTGGTTCTCTGAATTTTAATAAAAGGATGATAACTTTCGATCGAAATTGAAAATACTTGAAATGACCGGAATTTAATGCAGATGCCAAGGCATGTACTATGAAAGTTTGGATAAAATCGAACAAGAGAACTCCAAGAAATCTTCTGCATGATTTTTTTTTAAAGATAAAAATGAATTAGAAACGATCTCGTTGCGAGCAACAAGTGGATCTTCCGTTCGATTCTTGATGAGATGAGATAAGATTTTAATTGAGATTTTCGTTCAAAAATAATGATAACAATTGTTAAGGAGTACAAAATTGGCTCCATAATGTGTAACAAGATACTGAACATTGAAAGACTTACCCATTAAACCTTTGGTCCCTCTTGAGATATAAAGCAACAAAGATTTAGCAATCTGGTCCCTTATGGCAACTATTAATGTAACATATAAAGTAAAACGTATAATATATAGGTGTAGATTGCTGATATATTGACTGTGAAAAAGATTTTGATTGTAGACTGTTTGCCCCATTCAGTCCCTAATTTGAGTACCCAGCCCCTTTTTCTTGATTTTAACTTAAGTTCTCAGGATTTTAAACATTTTTGTTCAACAACTATTCATTGCTTCTTTTTGTTTCCGAGATATTTGCAAAAGAAATATCTAGAGACCAACCTTTCAACTCCTTAATGAGGACGTTATATATAAAAAAATGACAGATTATAAAGTAATGATCTTCATGATATTTTTTATTCAATATTACTTATCAAAATATTTCTCAATTTTGAGATATGAAGGATAAAAGATTTAGCATTCTGGCCCCTTGTGGCCCCTAATTATGAACCATACGACACTTTTTGTTCAACAACTACTGAATATTCAGAAATATTTTTTGTTTCCGAGATATTTGCAAAAGTTATATATAGGGGCTAACCCTTTAACTGCTTAATGGGGACGTGGTATTGAATGAACTAATCAAATGATGATGATTTGAAAATGATGTTTTTCTCATGGCTCACTCTTTTGATTGCCTTAATTTTAAAAAGAAAGACTCGAATTAAAACAATAAATGAACGAGAATTACATTCAATTGTTAAAACAATCTCAATTACTTTTGAGGACAAACAACATAAAATGGGTTTCTTGTAGTAAAATTAAATAAAGTTTAAAAAATTTGATTTTTCAAAGAGTTTAAAATAGCTTCAATTTATTAAAACATTGACATTAATGGTCTTTTAAAAGTGAAAAAAAAACATCATACAATGTCTGGAGTTTCTTACAAATCAAATCAAATAAAATTTCAATGATTTAATATATTCACAAAATTAATTAAAATTATGTTTCAATTGCTTCTAACGGACAGTTTCTGTATTTTGAAAGAAAAAGAAAACCATTGAAATTGTTTGAAATTTCTTAAAGATCAAAAAGAGTGAGATGTATGTGATTTAAAATTATAAAAAAAAATTGCTTCCAAGTGTATAATCAAGCACTATGTACATGTATTTGTATTGCAAAAGATGGAGAACAATATGTTTTGAAGTTTCTAAAAGGTAAAATAGAGTGAGATTAAAACGATTTGAATTTTTCCAAAAAAATTAATTGCTGCCAAATGTGAGACAAAGCACTATATCTGTATATAGAAAAAGCAGTCTAGTGTTCGTTGAAGACAATAAATGTGGTAAAAAATTTAAAAGTGACATTTTCTGAAATTAAAAGAAAAAAATTATGAGTTTACGGTTTTACATGAAGTTACTGCGTTTGTTTGTACTGATTCTCGGTTAAGCATAGGACTTTCCTAGACGAAGATGAACCGGAGCTCCAAACTCTGCTGAAGTAAATGGAGAAAAATAAAGCCGTTTTGTTTGCAAACTTATCCAATGTGACAATAAATAATTGCAAAAAAGCATTATGGACTCCATTTGCGAAAAAGTGAATGAATGTTCCACCAATGGGCATACACGAACCGTCGAGGAAGTGCGTTAAAGTGGACTAAAAAAAAGTTGCAGGGCAACTTACTCCGTCGCTTACTCCGCTGGAGGACACGGTAGTGGCCTTCATTGGGACATGCCAAAAGACGGCGTCATAGAAGGACTGGATACAAAGGAACCCCTGTATCTAAGGATTCTCTATAGAGCATTCCACAAACTACTAGTAGTACCTCACTGCATCCCCCTGAGGTATCACAAACAATATTGGCCTCAGCGAGTAATTTCTCATGTTAATTATACCAAAATAATTTAACCTTTTCACACCTGAAACTAAAAAAGCCAGACGTATAGCAGTTATGTACATATACATATAGACACCACTGGTGCTAAGAGTTCACAGACACCAGAAAAGAAGAACTCCTCTTAAGATCCATATGGTGAGGACTGGGTGCTGGAAATACAGAGAGAAATGCTGAAGGTGGATAAAGAAAGGTTAGAAGTGGAGATGAAAATGCTGGAAATTGAACAGGCAAAAGTAGTAATAAAGCAAAAGAAACATTAAATATACATGAGTAGTATGGGAATAGTTTTCACATCCCCAGAAGAAATTGTTTAGATAAAGACAATGGAGACCGAAT